AAACTCGTTGGTCCCCAATTTTCAGCATTACATTGCCAATGACTAAAGAAAGCACTATTTGGATTCTTTAATAAAATAATTTCAAATGGTATACACAATTTTTAATTAATACAAAACATTGAATTTTTTATCACCTAATTTTTAGGAAATTTAAGAGAAAAGGTTCTCTTAAATACTGCCTTGTAAAGAATTCAAAGAACCTATCATTTAAACCGACTAGACGGCACTTAACAACAACAACAAATCATTTAAACAGTCCTGAGCAGAATTGCATGTCATCGTTTCAAGCATAAAATTTAAACGTTAAAAAGTTTGGTTCACAGAAGCAAATTCAAGTTTCTCAGTTTTAAATGTTGAAAAGGTTTTTTGAAAGATCTGTACAAATTCTTATAGCCCAATATTTTATATCTTACTTTTCTTATTACCATTCCATAAGAAAACAGATATTCCCTCCAAATGTTCTCTAGTTGACATTTTGAATGTCACTTTGTATTGTTAACCACGAAAAGAAAAACGTTGCAAAGCACTGTCCTCAAGGAATCCAATCTATGGGCTTCTCTACAAAAGCCATTTGCAATTGTTTCCAAGTCATTTTCTCATGAACGTACATTTTTTAAAGGGAGAGGATCCAACCTTTTTATCAGATTCTGAGCCTCCCCATGTTACTACCAAATACAAAGTCACCCACACCAGAAACTCAGGGATCATTTTCTACTCTATTATAGGTTCTATTTCAGAGATCTTTTACCTCATAAGCATCTCTTCAATCCCCCCTTCTTTGCCATCTCCTTGTAATTACCTAAGTAAAGGCCTTGATTATTTTTTTAACCTGGACTTTAAATATTATTATTTTCTTACACAAAATTAAAATGTTGTTTCAATGCACATGTTTTCTAAATAATTAAAATTTTCAATTCAAACTTCAGGTTTGTTGTTGTTGTTGTTTTTGTTGAATGCCGCTGAGTCGATTCCAACCCATAGCAACTGTGTATAGGGTTTCCAAGGAGTGACTGGTGAGCATGAACCATTCACCTTGAGATTCAAGCGACTTTGCAGTCCAGCGCATTAATCCACAACGCTACACCAGGACTTTAGAACACATAAAAAAGACTATATATAAATAGAAACACCAAAAGTATTATCCAAGAATTATTGATAGGTTCTAGTGCACAGCTTTTCAATTTTTAAATGCTTATTTATTTACCTATTAGGTATGTGCATATTTAGTTTAACAACAACAACAAAGATACTAGAGGAGTCCTGGTGTGGCACTGCAGGATAAGCTCAAGGTCGAGGGTTCAAACCCACCAACTGTTTCTAGGAAACCCTATACTGGGTCACTATGAGTTGAACCCAACTTGATGGCAGTTAACAACAACAAAAAAGTGGTACTAGAACACAGACAATTCTGATTAAATCAATTCAAAGTAGTTAAAGAACGCTTCTGTACTAAATTAATCATTGATAGCCCTGGACTGCAAACCACAAGGTCCCCGGTTCAACCCCACCAGCCGCTCTTGGGAGAAAGATGATGCTTTCTGCTTCCAGAAGATTTAAAGCATCATAAACCTTATATAGGGTTCCTATGAGTCAGAACTGACTCAGAGGCACTTGACAACAAAAACAACATTTTTAGTTTATCAAATCGGATCAGATTATTCATAGTCTTGTAATCTACGTTATACTTAAGCAAACATTTCTAATATTCCAATATTTTTCCATATGAGATATTCTATAATCTTATCATTCATAAAACATACTGAATATTGTTCCCAATGAGTGTACTATAATTTATTTTACTAATCCCATACAAAATTGTTTTTAAGGTCATTTTAAATTTTATCTGTAATAAAAAAATGCTATGTGACCATCGTTAAACACACACCTCCAGTCTTAAAATTAATCTTTAGACTGTAAGGGGCCTTCAAAGCATCTGTGGAAAAGTACCATTACCTCTTAATTTTATTTTTCCATGAATTCTTCAACATTCCCTCTTACGTGAGGTTTTAAGCACTAATATATGATGATAAGTCAAAAAGTACTGCTATAAAATCATAGAAGCCTTTATCAAACAGAAATACCAAAGACTATTGCTTCTTGACATATCTTCCAACTAGGTTTACATACTTCTGACAGCAATGTTTTCATCTCTCTAAACTTTCCCTTAGAAGCCAAGATAACAAGACTTCATCTCTCATACTGTGGACATGTTACCTGGAGGGACCTGTCCCTGGAGAAGAATATCATACTTGGAAAAATGGATGTCAGCAAAAAAGACCCCAGTGAGATGGAATAAACAACAATAGGCTCAAAATGTAACAATTATAAGGATGGTGCAGGACCAGGCAGTGTTTCGTTCTTTTCTGCAAAGGGTCGATATGAATTGGAATCTAACAACAACCCTTCTCTGAAGAATTCTGTGCTCTTCACATTACACCAAATCAAATCAGCAGTTCTGGCATCCTCAGTGGACTCAAATCATGTACCTTTTAAATATTTTTTGTGCTTTAGGATCAAAAAAATGGGGGCAAAATCATGGCTGCAGGCTGGGATAAAGGTTCCTAATAAAATTCTCATAAGACAACGCTGCTATCCTTAAAGAATGAGCAGGCGCACTGCCATGATGGAAAAAGTCCTCAGCACATCATTCCTGGCCCTTTTACTATCAATGCAGCTTTCAATTTTCTTAAAACATCTTCCTAATAAGCCCACATAGTTATCCTGTGCCATTCAAGAAAATCTAACAAGATTATCCCTTGGGAACCCCAAAGAAACGTCACCATAACCTTCTGAGCTTTGAGTACATCTTTGAGGTTTTCCTGTCTTTCCTTAAAACAGGGGATCCATCTAAAAACTGTTAATTCATGTGACACACCTCCCTATAAACTTGTTGCAAATTTTCAGTGATTTAGGAAGATGTTCACTTGAGTTTTCTTATTTTTTAAGGCACCCTAACCAAGTTCTGGTGTGTTTCAGCAGGGAAAATGCTAAGCTGCAAGGTCAGTGGTTCAAACCATCAGAAACCCTATACAGGGTCGCCATGAGTCAGAACTGACTTAACAGCACTTAACAACAACAAACAAGACAAATGTTTTACTGAGAGAAGTTGTCTGTAGTCATCCAATGATTAAACAGGCATGTGTAAACACGTTTTTGTGGGGGAATAACCCCATACATGTATGAACTGGAAACCTAGTACCAATACTTTTTAATTGACCCTCATATATTCACAAATTGTACTTGGCAAAGGTTCTAACAATCTAGACTCAACCAGGTCTGCCCATTTCCGTGTCATCATCAATCTTAAATAATTACTTTTTCATATTTGTCATTCTATTTGGTACCAACCTAATTTCTAAATTTTAAAAATACAAATTTAAACAGTAAGGTTGGTACCTAATAGACTACCTTACATTTCTTCTTTTATAAATTGTATGTTAATATAGATTTCTTGATTTACTATTAAAATAGCCATATTTTTCCTATTTATTTGTAAGGACTTTACCTATTAAGAAAATCAGTCATTTGTCATATGTATTTGTAAATATTTTTATTTGCCTTTAAGTTTTAATTTGCATGTAATAAAGTTTCTTTCATTTTAATGTTGTCATATCTATCAGGGTTTTTTCGTTCTGGTTTAGAAATGTATTATCCACTCCAAAAATCATGTAACTATTCACCAATATATTTTACTATTTCCTTTACAGTATTATTTTTTACATTTAACTCGAGTTCATCTAGAATTAATTTTGAATAAGGAAGGGATCTAACTTAATATAAATTATAATAGTTAAGCATTAAAGAGCATTAACAGTGAATCTAAGTAGCTGCTACCTCTGGAGAAGATGATGGAGAAAGCAACTGTAGCCTACAACTGAATAAGATACAAGAGAGAGATTTAATTGTGCAGCAAGGTTACATTTCTTAAGATGGTTGGGTATGTGGGTCCATAAACCCTTATGGGAAACACTGGAACTAATATATTTTGAATTTCTGAAGTTTAGATATTTTATTTAAAAAATAATGCGGTATATATCATGTTAACACACCTGGATGGACCTGGGACAGCACCCTAAATCAAACACATTAATATTTCTGTAGCGAACCACAAAACTTTACATAAATAAATTAAAAAGTCACAGGACTTCATGTCTATTTACGTCAGATTTCTCCAAATGAATTTTTAAAGTAATGCAGCTTTAGAATATACTTTAACATCTGGTAGCACACTTCTCTCAATAAAACTGTTTCTTTGCTTTTCTTACCAATGTATTTAGAGTTTTAGATTCACTGTAAAGTTCATACCAAACCCAGGGAAAATCTTTTGGGAAATGTAATTAAAATTCCTGTCAAACATGGAAGGGAAAAAAAAAAAAATCAAAAGCCTAAATACTGTAAAGAAGGAAATAAAATTATTATTATTTACAAATATGCAAATATTTACATAGAAAACTCACAAGAATCAACACACAAATTACTAGAAATAACAGATATTAGCCAAGTGGCTAGATTTGAGATCAATAAACAGGGTCAGAGGTATAAGCTTAGCGAACATGCTACGTCAGCAACGAATGTAGCCAGTTGCCTCCTTCCTGAATCTAGCCTTGTCATATCAAGTAAGTACCTTCATGCTTTGATAATATACCCTCCACAACTAGCACAGCTTTTTTTTTTTAACCTTGGCTTAGGTGCAATGCTACAAAAACTTACTACAGCAATGCATTTAAGTTCTGGCACCCTATTGATAGCTTTATTCAGCAAGAAAATAGATGGCATAATCAATTGAGTTGCTATTTGAAACAAACTTACTGATCACTACTTCTCCTCCATGTGCAGTTAATCTCAAATAACTACAAAAACTGCAACCGTAATTATGTGTTTCAGCACAAATTCCTTTCTTGAAATGCAAAGGTACTTATTATAAATAGATATCCTGCAATGTATGCTAGTCAAAACCCCAATATGGGTCAGTGAAACAAGGCTCTCTTAGAATCCCTTACTTTGAGTTTCTGGGCTTCTCCTCGTACTTTCAGTAGTTCAGTTATAGAGTCCACAAAACCCTGGTAATGAAAGTTGCACATTTTCTCAATTTCTCTGTCATGATTGCGGATGCGAGTTTCAAGTTTCTCCATGAATCGCCCATGCTCCTCACCATCATAGACAGACCTTTAAAAAAAAAAAAAAACAAAGGTATGAAGATTACACCAGATTTAATTCAAAATATGAAAAATAGAATTACAAACCCAGAAACATAATTCTTTGGAAAATAAATACTGAAGGTACACAAACTGCAAAGAAATCCAAATGTGTGTTAGCCTTGCCCCAGTGTTAGATGAGTATTCTTAGGAAAATCCAAGTGTGCTTTCTCATTCATTCAAAAATATCTGAGTATTTGATAGTACGCAAGGCAGAATTCTCCTCACGGGATGAATTACCGCTCCCTTGCACAATTATCTAAGTACAGAAAACGTAACTAACTATCCAATTACCCCCTGACTATATCTAAGAAGATGAACACTGCATCATCTTGCTCTGCTGGCAAAATTCAGTCTAAATGTATAACTACAAGTCCAAATGGGGTACTCAAGGTGGTCATACAATACTACTACATCTCACCCCCCACCTGTAAGAAATTACCTAGTCTTTTCCACAATAACTATGTGTGGGCATCTTACTTTCTTCTCTCCTCAAAAGTCTACCCCTCACTCTCAGCTACTGCCCTAACTACATACTCCAAAGAAAAAAAAACATGAAATATCTCCTCTTCTTACCATTAAAATTAACCAACTGTAACTCATACTCTGTCAATCCTCATGTAATCATGGCAAAAGTATTCCAGGTGTAATTTACAGTTGATTCTTCCTACTGTCTACAAGTATTACTCCTGCAGTTATTACCGTTAATCCCTCTTCTACAGCATATATATATATATATATATATATATATAGAGAGAGAGAGAGAGAGAGAGAGAGAGAGAGAGAGAGAGAGAGGGAGGGAGAGAGAGAGAGATCTGGTATGGTGCTATGGGTTACTGCACTGGACTGCAAAGTCACTTTGAACCGCAAGATTGGCAGTGCAAGCTCACCAGCTGCTCCTCCGAAACCCTATACAGGGTCACTATGGGACAAAACCAACAAGACGGCACTTACCAACAATAACAACAGTCTTGTCTTTAGGGAACCCTGGTATCATAGTGGGTTACATATTGGGCTGCTAACCCAAGATCAAAGTTTGAATCCACCAGCCACTCCATGGGAGAAAGATGAGGTTTTCTGCTCCAATAATGATTTGCAGCCTTATAAAGCCTATAAGGGTCACTATGAGTCAGAACGGACTCAACTGAACACAGAAGCAGTAGCAACTTTGTCATTGTAACTCCCAACAACCAATTATTTTCCTCATAAATTTAGATAAGAAATAGGTGGGAAAAGATACTGACAGGATGGCATGATTCAGCTCTGAGTGTTAACACAGCTAACTGTAATTGTGAAAACTTGGAAATCTAAAGCGGGTTTTAAAATGAACCATCTCAAAAGCAGAAGGGTAATCTCACTGCTATCAAAGAGAATAAACCAGAAGTGGAGGGCATCCTTTGGACTCTAAGATACCTGTGCGTTGAACCTCCTCAACCAAGAGATAGAGGAGTGGCAGAGGGGAAGCAGTAGCAGAACAAAGCACCAGAGCGGAAGACAGAGCACTGGGCTTCCCAGCCCACAAAGCAAGTAAAGCTGAGTAACGGTGAGCAGGAAGCTTCTTGTAGAGTGGGGTGCCTCCAGGTAATGAAGTTGAGGAGCAAGGTTTGCTGACTCACAGAACTAGAGCTAAGTGCCTTCAGACTGAGGCTAACCACGGAGTAGTGTGTCCTGTGTGCATTTATCAGCAGCTGACTGTAATAACTGTGCCCTGAGCACTTCTGATCCCAAATTGTAACCTGTTAGCTTCCCTAATAAACTGCAATGCCACTCATCTGTCAATCTGTCATACTGTGGTGGCTTGTGTGTTGCTGTGATTTTAGAAGCTATGCAAGGTCACCCACGGTGGACAGGTTTCAAAAGAGCTTCCATACAAAGAGAGACTAGGAGAGACGGTCTACTTCCGAATACTTAGTCACTGGAAACCTTATGAATAGCACAAGAATTTTGAATATTGAAACATGATGAAGAACAAGAATAATGTCAGCACAAGAATTTTGAATATTGAAACATGAAGAAGAACACCAGAGTATTGTCAGACACAGTGCCAGAAAATGAGTCCCTCAGGTTGGACAGCACTCAAACACAGCTAGTGAAATGCTGCCTCCTCAAAGGAGAGTTCACCGTGATGAGGTGGAGTAAAGCCCTCAGGACCTTCATTTGCTGACGAGGCACAACTCAAAATGAAGAGAAACAGCTATAAACATTGATTAATAAGCAGAAGATAAAATGTATGAAGTATGAATCTAAGAAAATGAAAATTGTCAAAAATGAAATAGAATGCATAAACATCAATATCCTAAGCATTAGTGAGCTGAAATGGACTGGTATTGTCCATTTTGAATCAGACAATCACATCGTTTACTATGCCAGGAATGACACATTGAAGAGGAATGGCATTGTATTCATCATCAAAAAGTGAATATCAAGATGTGTCATGAAGTACAACGCTGTCTGTGATAGGATAATATCCATACACCTATTATTCAAATTTACGCACCAACCAGTAGAGCCAGTGATGATAAAGTTGAAGAATTCTACCAACTTCTTCAGTCTGAAATTGATCAAACATGCAATCAAGATGTATTGATCACTACTGGTGATTGGAAAGCAAAGGTTGGAAACAAAAAGGAAAGATCAGTGTTTGGAAAAATATGGCCTTGGTGATAGAAACAATGCTGGAGATTGCATGATAGAATTGTTCAAGACCAATGGCTCCTTCATCGCAACACCTTTTTTAAACAACATAAAAGATGCTTATACACATGGACCTCACCAGATGGAATACAAAGAAATCAAACTGACTACATCTGTGGAAAGAGACAGTGGAAAAGCTCCATTTCATCAGCCAAAACAAGGCCAGGGCAGACTGAAACAGACCATCAATTGCTTATATTCAAATTCAGAAAAAAAAATGAAAACAAGTCCAAGAAACCAAAATATGAACTTAAATATATCCCATTGATCATGTGAAGAACAGATTTGATGCAATAGACTCTAAACCAAAGACCATAAGAGTTGTGGAATGACATCAAGAACATCATGCAGTAAGAAAGCAAAAGGTCATTAAGAAGACAAGAAATAAGGAAAACACCAAAATGGATGTCAGAAGAGACTCTGAAACTTGCTCTCCAGCACAGAGCAGTGAAGAGATATAAGAGCTGAACAGAAAATTTCAAAGGTCAGCTTGAGAAGACAAAGCCATTGGTCTTGCAAAATTCTATCATGAGATTTCCAGCATCTTTTCTATCAGACTGCCATTCCCAGCATAGTAAACAATATGATTATGGGATTCAAAATGGCCACTACCACGCTATTTCAGCTCACTAATGCCTAGGATATTGATCTTTATGCTTTCCATTTCATTGCATGCTCCAATTGTTAATGGATGTTTACGTCCAATTTAGACTCATTCTGAGTTGAATCCCATCAATAAGTGAAGATTCCTAAAGCTTTATTCTACTCATGTCATTATAGTCAACTCTACTTGGAGGAGGCAGCTCTTCCCTTGTATTTTGAGTGCATTCTCACCTGTGAGGCTCATCTTCCAGCACTCAATCTGACAGTATTCTGGGGCTATTCTTAATGTTTCATATTCAATATTCTGGTACTGACAGTGTTCCACTGCTATTCATAAGGTTTTGGTGTAGTATTGTGGGTTAATGCAGTGGGCTGCAAGGTCAGTTTGAACCACAAGGTCAGTGGTTCAGGTTGACCAACCTCTCCTCAGAAACCCTATGCAGGGTCTTTATGGGTCAGCACTAACTCAACGGCACTTTAACAACAACAATAACCATTTAAAAGTAGCCCACCTCTCCATTTTCCTAGTCTGTCTTAGTCTGGAAGCTCAATTGAAATATGTCTTCCATGGACTATCCTGCTGGTATTTCAAATACCAGTAGCACAGCCTCCAGCATCACTGCAACACCTAAGTTATCATAGTACAATAAACTAACTGGCAAGTGGTGGATCATCACAGTACAGGAGACCGTATCACTATCCTTGCTTCTAAGAAGCATTCTGACTGGCTGTGCTTCTTCCAAGACAGGCTGGTTCTTCGACCAGTCCATGGTATATTCAATACTCTTTGCCAACATCATAATTATAAAACATCAACTGTTCTTTGGTCTTCCTTTCTCATTACCCTGCTTTCACATGCAGATGAAGTGATTGAAAATATCAATCACTTGGTTCAGGCACACCTCATCCTCAAAGAGACATTTTTTGTTCTTTAACACTTTAAAGATGTCTTTTCCCACAATAGATTAAGCACAACACAATATGTCATTTGATCTCTTGACTACTGCTTTTATCAGCATTGATCGTAGATTCAAGTAAAAGTAATTCCTTGATGATTTCAATCTTTTCTACATTAATCATGATGTTACTTATCAGTCCCGTTGTAAGGATTTTTGTTTACTTTAAGATGCATTCCATACTGTAGACTAGTCTTTGATCTTCATCAGTAAGTGCTTCAGGTCCTCTTTGCCTTCCTCAAGCAAGGTTGTGTTATCTGTATATCACAGGTTGATAATGAGTCTCCCTCTGATCTTGATGTCATGTTCTTCTTCATATGTTGTTGATGTTACGTGTTATCAAATTGGTTGCAGTCCAGTGCTTATCCTACAGCACCAAACCAAGACTCTCTTCTTCATATAGTCCAAGATTATGTGGAGAAAAATATTTCTACTGTGCAGTTATACCAAAGCATCTGTCAGGAATTCCATTATAATTTCCAGATATTCTTATACCCACACAAAAAATTTAAAGTGGGTAAAAATATATATTATGTGGGCACAAATAAACTAAAATTAAACATATGTATACATTGTTAAGTGGAAAACTAATTGACTCTGTAAGCTTTCACCCAAATTACAGTGTTAAAAGATGACAATAATAACAACAATGATGGTGACGATGGTGGTGGTGTGCTGCCAAGTCAATTCTGACTTACAGAAACCCTGCATCGGATTT